ACTGAAAAAAAGGGACTCGTGACTGTTTTTCACACTTAACGACCATTGCAGCATCCCCAGGATTATGTGATAAAAAATTCAGAGGCTTGGCAACTGGCATGGACGTACGCCGGTTGCAGTGTCCTCTTTTGTGACCGTCTGACAAGTAATTCCATGGGGAATCCAGATTCACTTCACAACCGTTGTGAACAATTGCAGGGATTCATTTAACAACTGTGGCAAGGAAGGACGTAAAATGGGGCAAAATTCATTTAACAAATGTTTTGCTCTTTGTCTCTCTTTCCCTCTTTCTTTCTCTCTCTCCCATTTTCTTTCCATTCTTTCTCACACACACACACACACCTTTCTTTCTCTTTCTTTCTTTCTTTCTTTCTCTTTCTCTTTCCCTTTTTCTTTCCATTCTTGTTCTTTCTCTTTTTTCTTTCTTTCTCTCTTTCTCTGTCTTTCTTTTTTCCATTTTCTTTCTGTTCTTTCTCTGTCTCTTTCTTTCTTTCTCTCTCTCTGTCTGTCTCTCTTTCGCTGTCTTTTCCCCATTTTCTTTCTGTTATTTCTCTGTGTGTGTCTCTCTCTCTTTCTTTCTTTCTTTCTTTCTTTCTTTCTTTCTTTCTTTCTTTCTTTCTCTTTCTGTTATTTCTCTTTCTTTCTTTCTTTCTTTCTTTCTTTCTTTCTTTCTTTCTTTCTTTCTTTCTTTCTTTCTTTCTCCTTCCCTTTTTCTTTCCATTCTTGTTCTTTCTCTCTCTCTCTCTCTTTTTTCTTTCTTTCTTTCTCTCTCTTTCTCTGTCTTTCTTTTTCCCATTTTCTTTCTGTTCTTTCTCTCTCTCTCTCTCTCTCTCTTTCTTTCTCTGTCTTTTTCCCATTTTCTTTCTGTTCTTTCTCTGTGTCTCTTTCTTTCTTTCTTTCTTTCTTTCTTTCTTTCTTTCTTTCTTTCTTTCTTTCTTTCTCCCTTCCCTCCTTCTCCCCCTTATTATTAAAAAATAGTAAAACATAATCACGACGGAGATACCTATATTGTCAAACAGAAGAAAATAAAGAAAACGTTTTGAAAGAAAGAAATACAGCAAGGAAAAAAAGCAGTGTATAGTTAACAGTAACCATTCTATGCACACTTACCTAACACAATTTTGTTCAAGTATACTTCTATTTCTAATACATTTATAGGACTATTCTTCTTTTTAAACTACTGTATTCCGTATAAATCAGTTCCCCGTTCCCTTGTAGTACTCGTCCAGGCATACTCTGGGACTCTTAGCCGTCCCTTCCCAGGGGGGAACCAGGTTTTCAATCCCTTGAATAGATGTAGCCCTATCCATTTATCTTTCCAGGGCTGCATTATCAGTCTTTTAGCCCTAATAACAGCACAAAACCCCCATTTTAAGCTGTCTACTTGTCACATTCCTTGTTCCAGCCACATAATTCAACAGACCGTTTATCCTCTGAAAATGTTTGTTTTCCTTGAGCGAGAACATTTGTGTAATCCGTTACTTTGCCCCCCCCACTTCTCCCCCCCCAGTGTGGTAACTGTGTAGGTAGGACATTGTGAAAACATGTTTTAAAGAAGCGGGGGCGTCACATCCTTATTGCATTTCCGACAAATTGCTGTGTTTGACCGCCTTTTTCTACCTACACAATCATAACGGGAGTCCGATAAGTTCCAAATATTATGTTTTTGATGCACAGGGGGCCATTGACATTCTGGCTATAGAAGTTCTCTGAGCAAAATAGGAATTTCAGGTGATCCTCAACTTACGACCACAATGGGAAGCGGAGTTTCCGTTGCTAAGTGAGGCGGTTGCTAAGGAGAGGTTCCCACCCAGGGGGTCCTCGACTTACGACCTCATCGGAAGCGGAGTTTCCGTTGCTAAATGAGGCGGTTGCTAAGGAGAGGTTCCCATCCAGGGGGTCCTCGACTTACGACCTCATCGGAAGCGTTTACGTTGCTAAGCGAGGCAGTTGCTAAGGAGAGGTGCCCACCCAGGGGATCCTCGACTTACGACCTCATCGGAAGCGGAGTTTCCGTTGCTAAGCAAGGCGGTTGCTAAGGAGAGGTTCCCACCCAGGGGATCCTCGACTTACGACCACGATTGGGGCCAGGATTCCAGTTGCTAAGCAAGGCAGTTGTTAAGTGAGTCTCATCCAATTTTCTGATCTTTTTTCTTTTTGCTGTGGTTGTTAAATGAACGATATGGCTGTTAAGTGAATCCAGCTTCCCCGCATTGATTTTGCTTGTCGGAAGCTGGCTGGAAAGGTCCTACCCTACCCCTGCGAGGTAGACCTTTCCCTACTTTTCCCCCCTTTTTAAAAAAATTGCATTGAGTGCAAAAAAAGTGGTCAAAATCATTTAGGTGAGCGCTTCGTTGAGCTGACGTTTCTTGATGATCTGTCTTTTTTTCCTCTTTGCTTTTTAGGTTTCCTTTCTTCGCTTCTTCTCACGGGAGAGCCCTCCCCAGCTGCCCCCTCCTCGATTTTGCACAGTGGGGCCAAGAACGGGATTGTACTCCAGGTAAACTTTTACCCCCTTTATTTATTTAGGTTTTTTTTTAAAAAAAAGATGGTCTTTAAAGTTCTCTTTCCAAAGCATGTCATAAGATTTCTTGTATACGGTGACTTTTTTTGACCACGATGTCAAATTTCAGAATGGAATGGAATGGAATAGAATGGAATGGAATGGAATAGAATAGAATAGAATAGAATAATGAGATAGAATAGAATAGAATAGAATAGAATAGAATAGAATAGAATAGAACAGAATAAATAGAATAGAATAATGAGGTAGAATAGAATAGAATAGAATAGAATAGAATAGAATAGAATAGAATAGAATAGAATAGAATAGAATAGAATATGGAATGGGAATAGGAATAGGAATAGAATTAGAAATAGGAATACAATACAATACAATATGGAATAGAAATAGGAATATGAATAGAATTAGAAATATGAATAGAATTAGAAACATGAAAGGAATAGAATAGAATAGAATAGAATAGAATATGGAATGGGAATAGGAATAGGAATAGAATTAGAAATAGGAATAGAATATAGAATAGAATAGAATATAGAATATACAATACAATACAATACAATATGCAATAGAAATAGGAATAGAATTAGAAATATGAATAGAATAGAATAGAATATAGAAAAGGAATAGAATGGAATGGAATGGAATAGAATATAGAATATAGAATAGAATAGAATAGAATAGAATAGAATAGAATAGAATAACTTTATTGTCACTTTAAATGTACCTAATTGCCAGACATTAAAATGACATTTTGATGCATAGAGCTCTCAAAAGGTCTTAGGATAGTGTTTCTCCACCTTGGCCAACATGTGAACTTCAACTCCCAGAATTCTATGCTATGCTGGCTGGGGAATTCTGGGAGTTGAAGTCCATAGCTCTTACAGTGGCTCAAGTTGAGAAACATTGGCTTAGGTGGGCGAAGACCAAATTAATAAGAAAAATTAAAAAAGATGCTCAAATTTCCTTGGAAATTGGGGGGGAAAAGTGTCTACCATGACGGGGACGGCGATGGGGGTGGCATGTTGGTGGCTTTGATGATGCGGCCATGACACCACAGTTTGACTTTTTTGACCTCTCCTCCCATGGATGCCTTTAAGACATGGACAATTAAAATGGACAATTTTGAGCTTTTTTCCCCTTGTGATGGACAAGCCATTTCTCAGTGGCTCAAGTTTCCTTGAAAAATCCATCAGAGAAACAAATGTCACAAACGTGTTGCATTGTGACAATTGTGACACTCCTGGATTTTACATCCTAGGTAGGCTCTGCCTGTATCAATGTCCTGGATGCAAGATTTTAAGATTTTAGGGCAAGGGTCTTCAAACTTGGCCCCTTCATGACTTGCGGACTTCAACTCCCAGAATTCCTCAGCCAGCATGGGGGAACTATGGACCCTTCATGACTTGTGGACTTCAACTCCCAGAATTCCTCAACCAGCATGCCTGGCTGAGGAACTCTGGGAGTTGAAGTCCACAAGTCATAAAAGGGCCAAGTTTGAAGACTCCTGGTCTGGATCCAAGCCTGCAGTTTCATCAAAATGGCCGTCTGAGGAATTCTGGGAGTTGAAGTCCACAAGTCATAAAAGGGCCAAGTTTGAAGACCCCTGGTCTGGATCCAAGCCTGCAGTTTCATCAACGTGGCTGTCTGAGGAATTCTGGGAGTTGAAGTCCACAAGTCATCAAAGGGCCAAGTTTGAAGACCCCTGTTTTAGGGTGACTGGCTTCTCCTCTGGGGCCACCGCTTCTTGATCTTGAGTTGATTGACGTGTGGCAGTTCCGTAGAGGACAAAATAATTGCTGATTATAGGAAAATTGAATTGTTGTTGTTGTTGGTATGATTCGCTTCTCTGCGGGATGCGGGAGAGTTCTCACAACTGTGTGGATAGGTTTTTCTGCTTTCCTGTCACCCGCTTAATCAAGGGGTTGGTCTAGAAGATCTCGTAAGCCCATTCTCTTAACAGTTGCAGGAATTGGGGATGTCTAGTTTAATGAAGGGGAAAAAAAGGATTAGGGGGTGACATGATAGCAGCCTTCCAATATTTGAGGGGCTGCCCCAGAAAAGAGGGAGGTCCACCCATTTTAAAGTTGCCAAGATTGAGAAACACTATCCCAGTCCTTCCCGGTTATTATACTATCTGGCTCACCTGACAGGGTTGTTGTTTGCAGGTGAAAAGTTGAGAAACGCTTCAACACTGGAAGTTTTTAAGAAGACATTTGTCTGAAATGGTCTAGGGTTTCCTGCCTGAGCACGGGGTTGGACTAGATGACCTCCAAGGTCCCTTCCAACTTTTATTTATTTATTTATTTATTATCTCAGCTGCTACTGTTAGAGGAATTGTTACTATTTTTATTCTGCCTTTTTTTTATAATATAATTCAAGAAGATGCACATACCCTGAAAGGTGGGTTAATAAGGCCCTCTGCACATGCTCAAAGGAAGGAAGGAAGGAAGGCAGGCAGGCAGGAAGGAAGGAAGCAGAAGCTGTGAATGCTCCAACACTGGAAGTTTTTAAGAAGAGACTGGACAGCCATTTGTCTGAAATGGTCTAGGGTTTCCTGCCTGAGCAGGGGGTTGGACTAGATGACCTCCAAGGTCCCTTCCAACTTTATTGTTATTGTTATTGAAAAGCTGCAACGGGTCAACCAAACTCACAGCTGAATAGCAAATCATGGTTTACATCTGTAGTAAGGCTTAATCGGCCACAGAGGTGACGGAAACCTCTAAAATACGCTTTGTGCTCTCTCGAACTCAGGACAGGAAGTCTCCACCATGACGAGTCCCAAGCCTTTTATCATTTAGTTTTTCTTTCTGATATTTCCCGGTCTTCTTTCGCCTGGCTGGCTTGCCGAGTTCGCGCTATTAAATTAAAGGGGAGATTCATCCTGGGGGGGGGGGAAATAAGGTTGTTTTTGTGTTTTTTTTGGACGCAATTTTGGATGTGACGAGCCTTACACGTATGTACCTTCCTTTCTTTAGCCTGCAAGGCTAAAAACACAATTGGCACAGCTGCATCGCACCGCAACCTGTTCCTTGCCATTTAGCTCCCGGAAGGAGAGAATGAACAGAAAAAAAGAAAAGAAAAAAAAAAAGCCATTTTCGGCACAGTCTTAATTTGCCGGAGAACACGGGAGACGATCGGAGCTGCTAATTGTTTCCAGGAAATGGGGAAAGGTGCAGGATCAGATTAATTTCCTCCCTCGGCCTCGCCACTTCAGGATGCTGCTAGGGGAAATGAAGCAGTAATGAGCGTCCGACTGGCCACGCACGGGACGGGGCGAGTGTCTGTTAATAGATCCGAGTTTGCTTGGCTTTGTGAAACGATCCTGGGGAAGACAAGAAGCAGAAGGAAACTAACCAAGGAGAGAAGCAACCTAGAACTAAGGAGAAACTTCCTGACAGTGAGAACAATTCACCAGTGGAACGGTTGCTAGAATTGGGTATGTCCAGTTTAACGAAGAGAAGGATGAGGGGGGACAGGATAGCAGTCTTCCAGTATCTCAGGGGCTTCCCCAAAGAAGAGGCAGTCTAGCTATTCTCCAAAGTGCCTGAAGTCAGGACAAGAAGCAACGGACGGAAATTCATCAAGGAGAGAAGCAACCTGGAACGAAGGAGAAACTTCCTGACAGAACGATTAACCAGTGGAACCACCTGCCTCCAGAAGCGGTGAATGCTCCAACACTGGAAGTTTTTAAGAAGAGACCGGACAGCCATTTGTCTGAAATGGTGTAGGGTTTCTTGCCTGAGCAGGGGGTTGAACTAGATGACCTCCAAGGTCCCTTCCAACATTATTATTATTATTATCATTCATCTCACAGTCAGCCAGATGTTCAGCCTGGATTTGGCATTTTGTCTACCTATCGAGTCCTTACCCAGGACCTGGGATAGGCAGATGTGGATGTTTGATGGTATTACAGATATCGTCGCAGGATGGAAGCAGTTCCTAATAAGGCCGCCTTTTGCAATTGACTAATAGCGAATTTGTCAATGCCAATGGTGTTCAAGTGGTGCTCCAGTTGTTTTGGGATTGCACCCAAGGAGCCTATGACTATTGGTACTACCCTTGCTTGCTTTTGCCACAGTCTTTCTATTTCTATTTGTAGGTCTTTGTATTTTGTTATCTTCTCCAGTTCTTTCTCTTCTATTCTGCTATCTCCAGGCACTGCCACGTCCACTATCCAGACTTTTTTGTCTTTCTTATCGACAATTGTTAAGTCTGGGGTGTTATGTTGCAGGTGCATTATTATTATTATTATTATTATTATTATTATTATTATTAAGAGGGAGAAAGCCAACAGGCGGACAGAATTACAGAATTACGGACCTTAATCCGCAACCGGATTAAAAAAACGGGTTGATTGCGGAATTTCAGAATACAGGCAGTCCCCGACTTAACAGCGGTCCATTTAGCGACCGTTCCAATGTCACTGAAAAATGGGGCGGTTTTCAAACTTAACGACCGTCGCAGCGTCACGTGATCCAAGTTCAGAGGCTCGGCAACTGGCGTGTACTTGTGACGGTGGCAAGTGCCGCCCCGCCCCCCCCCCCGGGTCACGGGATGATCCCCTTTCGCCAGTTTCTGACAAGCAAAGTCAACGTGGAAGCCAGCTTCACTTAACGGCGGGGTTGGCGACTTAGCAAGGGCAGTGATTCACTTTACAACGGTGGCAAGAAAGGGCGCAAAACGGGGCAAAGCTCATTTAACAATCGTCTTGCTTAGCAAGGGAAAACCTTGGGGATCCATTGTGCTCGTAGGCCGAGGACTATCTGTCTATGTCCCAGAATTCCCCTCCCGTGGATGAATTCTTGAGCTTGCAGTCCAATAGCTGGGCCCTCCCTCTCCGAAGCAGCCCCGTTGCTCTGGGAATAGCTTGGCCTGCCAAGGCTGTCATATTTCTCTCCTGCAACCCCTAGTTTCTGAGGAACCAATCAATCAAGCAGAACAGGGCTGGGAGGGAACTTGGAGGTCTTCTAGTCCAC